CCCGCGTGCCCCCCCCCCCCCGGCCATGGAGCCCGCGGCGTGTCTCTGCGTCCCCCACACGCTCACCGAGGGGCTGCCAGGGGTTTGGCTAAAGCTAAGCCTCCAGGAGGGACCGTGTCTGGTACTACACGCAGGGACAGGCCCCAGCTGGCTTGGTCGTGGTTAAACAAGATGCAGTTAAATACGTGGACCCTCCCAGAACGAGGGATGCGGGTCAGAGAGCAGAAGACCGCAGCTGGGCAGCTGGGACTGACAAACACCACACAAGCGCCTTCTCTGGGAGGAGATACTCGTCCTGTGGCCTGGGAAGAGGGATATTGTGGCAGGAGGCAAATCCCAGGAGAGACCTGGGCAGAGGCCAGTGCCCAGACCCCAGTCCAAGCACCACACCCCCACCCCCTCCGAAGGGGTCGGCGCGTCTCTCACCGAGTCCCTCAGCACCCCCCCATCACCTCTGCTGATGGGCCCAACGGCTGCTGGAACCGCGTCCCCAGAGCCAGCTGGGGCCGAGGAGGTGGCAGGTCCCCAAGCACCGCTGGCCTGGGACACAACAGCCGCCAAGGGCTGGGGCCGCACAAGGCTCTGCTAGCGGGAACGCTGGTTTTCCACCCTCCCTCAGGGCCCAATTCGGACCACCAGTATCAGTCAGCACGGCAGGGCACGGGTGCCGGCTTTGCTCGTGCAGCAGTGGGCTACTTCAGCGACGCTCGCACCCAAGACGTGCATTAGCCTCCTAAAGCTCCTGCCAGTGCCGGCTCACAAGAGGCCAAGGAGCACGAGCAAACCTTCCCGAGCTCCCAGCAGTCAGAGGCTGCGGGATCGACCCCCCGCGCAGGCAAACAGACGAGAAGCGTCGCAGCTCAGGGTGGAAGTTCTTTATTCGTGGCCTGGAGGAAGGAGCAAAACCTGGCAAGTCTACAATCAAGTAGGAAATGCAATCTAGTAGGAAAACAAGCTTCACGGAATTCAGGATAAGCTTAAAAATTGCCGTCAGCAGCAGGAGGCTGCTGCACGCGAGCGGTGCGTGTCCCCTGAGGCGCTGGCACCAGGGACGTGTTTGGCTCCAGCAGCCCGGTGCGGACCCGGTGCGGCCCCTGCAGCTCGTCAGCTCAGAGCCCTGCTGGGAAAGGACTGAATTTCAGCTGGCCCTTGATTTACCCTCAGCTGTAGCGTCTGTACAAAGAAAGGAGACAGCATGAGACTGGCGTGACAGACAGATGGGTGCTGGACAGACAACTGGACATCTCAGGCTCCCAAAAGATTCGGTGCTACCGTCCTCAGCAGTACAGAGCCAGCTCCGGTGGGATTTGACCTCACACCACCTCTGCTCCCAGGAGAGGGACATCCCAGCTGCATCTGCATCAGCCTCCGGGGACCACTACCCCATCCAGGACACACACACCACCCCCCCCCCCGCGGGGACAGGGCCGTTTCCCCCTGCCAGGGGCCAGCTTGGTCCTTGTTTCCCCTCCAAGAGCCGCCAGCTACTGCTGCCAAGCCCGAGCTGCCCCCAGCACGAAGGCCGATCTCAACCCCAGACGGGCTGAACTACTCCCCCCTCCCAAAAAGGAGCTGCTGCCGGGGGTCCTGGGCAGCTCTCGGGCTGAGATGGGGGAGAGGGGAGGATGAGGACGGATATCCACGGGCAGCACTGCCTGGGACTCAGGAAAGGCCAGGAGAGCAACTCGGAGGGAGACACAAACTGACAGTGAACATCACAGCCTGCACGCCCCGCGCTGTCCCTGCACCCTCAGCCATGTCAGCTCAGAAGAAAGTAGCGGCACAGAACGAGGGTGGGCTTGCCCCCCACCCAGCACCCCCGGTGCTCCCTCCCCCAGGCGGACGCAGGATCAGCAGCGTCACCACCACCAGTCGCCGATCAGAGGCGGCAGCTATCGGGTCCAACTCTGGGAGACGTCACCCCGAGATGTCCCAGAGCAGCAGTGTTCGGTGGCGTTTCTGTCCATCGGTCAGTCCCAGGCTGTCCGTCATTGATTTTTGTTTGCTCCTGCAGCCCAGAAATCTGCAAGACAGCACGGAGGTGGGTACACAGTCCTGCCTGGGCCTGCCCTGCGCACGGAGGCCGCCAGGCAGGACCCAAGCAGGGGGAGAGGGGAAGAAAGGAGACCCCTCTCCCAAAAAGCGCCAGGCCCCAGTAACCAGGCGCCAAGCTCCCTTCCCACCTCTGCAGACGCACGCAGCCGACATGAGTCCTGCGTGCGATTCAACCGCAACACAAGACATGCTGCAGTAACTTATGCAAGGAAGAAAGGGGAGGCAGAGGCTGTCAGGACTCTCTGTGCCCAATCCTGCTGGTGGGGCACAGAAAAGGGGCGCCACGTCGCTTCAGGGGACACTCAGAGGTGTCCAGACAAGCATCCTCCAGCAGGAACGACAAGAGGTACCATGTCAACCGCAGGCTCAGGGGAAAAAACCCAGCAAGTTCTCCCGCCCTTCCCAAGCCATCCCTAGGACCCGTCCACGAGGACTCGGAGATGTTCCCCACGTTGCTCTGTGCCTGCTCCGACAACAGCGTGGGGGGTGACCCTGCTCCACCTTCCCAAAAGCAGAGGAAGGTTTGAGAACGAGTGCTGCCAAGTCGAGGCCTGGGCTGGCTGCCCTCGCACCCAGCATCTTCCCCACCACAGTGTGTGCCACGCAGCTGCCTCAGGAGGGGCAGAGCCTGGTACCGGCACAAGATGACCAAGGCACCTGAAGAAGGTAACGCCGTGCCCGCTGCTATGGCAG